GCTTGGGTTATTTTAATAGCTTCCTAATTTGTCTCCCTATCTCTAATTTCCCCCCCACCCAACCTTGAATACAAATAGCATCAGCCTATCAGCCAGGTTAAACACCACTTTAATCACACAAGTCAGTTCAAGAATCTTGGGTTTAATTTTACCCTGAAAGCAACTCTCATTTGTAGAAAGAGAGTAGAAAGAAACTCTTTACAACGGTATTCAAAGTGTTTCTCTAATCTGATCTTCTGCTTCTGTCCAACGTGAACGCTCTGCAATCAGGCTGATCTATCATCAACTCTTATTAATGACTTGCTCAAGCTGTCCTCCCACCCTCACTTTGTCAATGCAAATTCATCCTCCCAGCGTGCTCCACTGAAATACCAATGTGGTTGTTAGTAACCATTACAGTTATAAATAAACTCTTTTGCTTTAGAATTTCAACAACACTCATATATTGTCTGATCCATTCATTGGGCACTAAGTCACACTGTCTTCTACTGTCAAGCAATTATACATCTATGATCTAATTTCATTAGAAGTAATTCCCTTGTGGATCCTCATATTTGTTGTACTTCTCACAATCCCAGATGGAGAGCCATAAATAGAAACCTGGTAAATGCTCAACTAATATTTGGTGAACAATAAATGATCTGCATGTTTAGTTGTTGTACAAAGCCAAATATATTAATATATATATCAAATGTATATGACCTATATATATTTGGGTCTCTCTATTTATATCTATATCTATATATGTAATTTTCTGTGTGCCTCTAAGGCTTTTCTGTAGCAAGATGAGTATTATTTTATATAGGTTCATCCATCGGGGAGTCTCCAAGACTAATCCTGAATTTGGTGATTCATTAGGACTCACAGGACTCAGCATACAGTCCCACTCATGGCTAAGATTTACTACAATGTAAAGATACAAAGTCGAATCATCACACACTTAATTTCCCTAGCATTCAATTGTGATGTGCTGTCTAACAGGGAAACTCATAAGAGACTCAATGCCTAAAATTCGTATTAGGGCTGGTCATGCAGGCTGCCTGGCAAGAACCAAAATTCCAGACGGAATTTAGCATAAACCACTCTGTACAGTCTAGGCACAGTGAGCCACTCTTATCATTTAGGTAGTTTTATATCATGTATGGAACCATTTACCATTCAAGCTCCCAGATGCCAGCCAAGGGCCAGCCACGTACATAGGCCTTTCTAAGAATAGCAGTCTTGAGCCTGCTATGTTACCTCTTTTCTATGTAACTCATTTCATATTTTTACAGGAGAAATGTTACAGTGTTAATTACACGTGACTTTTAAGGGGCACATAGAGCAATTTTTAAAAAGTTAAAATCTAGCGTTCAATTAGAGATGCACTGCCTTGACTGGCACCCACTAATTAAAAGTTCTGTGATTTTGAAATAATTCACTTCCTTTAGATATTTCAGATTTTCTTTCTTTCTTTTTTTCTTGTAAAATAAGGCCTCCTTCTCAAACCAACAATTTTGTAGTTGTTAGGATAAAGGAATCAAATATAACATCTAAAGCAATTGGACCTTCTTGGACAAGTCCCTGGTCTCCTCTTTAAGTGCCAACTGGATGGTAAAACACTGTTTAGGTGTTTTGGGCACATCATCTCACTAAATCCTCACACCACCACATGTCAGTGATGGTTTCCATTCCACATACAGAAGTTTTGGGACTCTAAGTAACCCATCCAGGTTTACCATTGCGGAACTGGGGTTTAAGCTTAGACCCACCACATTCCAAACCCTTGCTCTTAGCTTTACACCAACTATCTCTACCTAATGTCAAAGGCACAGGCTCCTTATTATGAGTCATTTCCCCACACTATATGGCTTTTTGGTTTGGCTATACAGAGCACTATTCCTAATCTTACTTAAAATCAAATTGATCAAAGTCAAATTTTAGTTGGAAGAAAAAGGCGTGAGTTCAACCCAAGATACTCAACTTTCTCATTTCTAAGTCTTGCGGAGTATACTTTTTGCTCATTAAAGTCATTAGGAAGCTCCCTATTCAGAAACTTTCATATATGGCACACGATTTACTCCTTTATCTGGCATCACCCTGTTTGAAGTTACACAGACCTGATCAGAATCTGGCATCGCACTTACCAGCTGAGGTGACCTTAGGAAAGTGAGTTATGCTTCCTGAGCCTCAGTTTATTTATCTACAAAATGGGACCCCTACCTTATAGACTTGCTGTGAGAATTAAATAGGATAATATATTTAGAAGCCAACATATATTGGCTGAATAAATGACTGCCTACAACGAAAGAATAACTGACTTGTGGGAAGTAAGTCAAATCAACATAACTGAGGTAGGAAGGAAGCCCGGTAGACAAATGCCCTGACCACCAGGTGTCACTACTGGCCCAGGAGCGCCAGTCTAACTGCCTGATATAGGGGGTGGGATCCTGCAGAAAAACAGTCTAGGCCTCAGGGTAAGACTGTCACCTGCACCAACAGGACCTTCACGAATTGGCTTAGGCTTTTTCACAACTAAGAGACGGTCCAACATTTTTTTTTGCACCAAAATAGGTTACATTCTTCTCTAACAGGTGTTTAAAATACTTAGCTGAATATCTACTGATGTGTCACCACAGTTTAATTTTAAAAACTGTCTTCAGCAAACCATTAATTTCATATATCCTTTGGTTTAGCCAACTAGACATTTTCTGGCTTCCATAGCCTTCAATATGGCCCCAGAAGACAAGTTTCTGGCCCCAATTCCACAATCCAGTGACATTATTTCCTTTACATTATAAATGGGATGACTGAATTTTTTTTTAAGTAGAATATTTTTAGGGCAAAAATAAAGTCTAAGACCAGTATATATGGGCAAAATAAACATTAACTTTTAACCCTTCTTGATCTCAGGAACTGCAAAGTTCATTAAAAAAATTGTTTTCTCTCTATATACATATTTAAAGAAAGTACCTTAGGGTACATCTGTCAACCTGTGAGTAGCTCTGAAATTACTCAAGAAACACTGCCACACCTATTATTAATGCCACACCTATTATTTAATAGCTTCATTCTGTAACCTGCTAATGCCTCTCTCTGGGAGTGCCCAGGGGCTCATTTTAAAATGAGGGCTGGGCCTGGGCTACCCGTCTGGCTCTAAGCTCTCCACAAGGAGATCCACTAGTGGCCGCTTCAAGACTAATTCATCCAGCATTAGCGTCTAACTGGAGACGCCGCTCTCTGATGAGGCACAGACTGTTGTCTCGTCTGCCAGGAGCACTTGACTCAAGTCAAGCCCGGCCAGGCCTACCCCAGTCTCAGACTGGGTGGCCAAGTCCCCGTGTAACCTACAAGGGAGAAAGAATTGTGCTAAGCCTAGGTTTCTGTTCAGAGCTGGGCTCTTGGAACTCCAGCAGTTTGTGTTATTTTTGTTTTTAACAGCTCAAGTTCTACTTTGCATTTCACAAATATGGACATGTCTTAAGAGAAACCAGAAGCATCCTCTCTCTCCAGCCATTGCTCCCATTTCTAGAGGATTTGGGAGGGAAGAGCAGACACCAGGCACCATCTGGAGTCAGGAGCGCAGGAGCCAAGGCCAGCCGAGAAGAACCCATTTGCAAAGCACTTTGCAGATCAATAAATTCGAATGATTTCAGAGCGGTCCCTAGGGAAAGGCGAGCAAATGGGCCAAGGAGAGATGCTGCCTATCCAACAAGCCCTGGCCAAGCAGACATGGGCGAGGAGGCGCGGGAGGCGAGTTACCTGGAGGACTCGGCGGTGAAGCTGCCGCCGTCCAGCAGCCGCATCTTGCAGAAGAGGACCCCATTGACGAAGGGCACTGAGGAGAGCTCCTCGAGCTCGAAGTCCACCTTAAACTTAAACTTCTTCTTCTTCATCATCGTGAGAGCCAGGCGCCTGCAAGCTGGGCGCACGGCCGGGCGCCGCCGCCTCAGCTTGGCCGAGCCCTGGATCCGCCCAGCCCCATGGCCGGGGCCGCGAGCTGCGCGCGGGGGCGCGGCCGGCGCTGCCGCCGCCTCTCCGGGCAGCTCTGGGGAGCGCGGCGGCAGCTGCGGCGCGGACCCCGACCGCCCGCGGGGAGCGGTCGTACTGCAGCTCGCCCGGAGAGGTGAGCGCCCTTTCGGTGCGCAGCTCGCCGCCAGCGCCGCCGCCGCCGCCTCCCGTCTGGGAGTCGGGAGAGGAGAGGCTCGAGGAACCGCCGCCTCAGCGCCTCGGGGGTCGGGGGCGCCCCCAGCGGCCGCGGCCTGCAGCGCACGGCGGGGCGGAAGCGGGAGGACGGGCGGGGACTTTGTGGGCGGGCGCGGGCTTGGCCGCGGACTCTAACCCGCGACGGCAGTTAGCACGTCACGCCTTTCTGGGGTTAAAAAAAGACAAACCCGAGAGAGAAAGCTTCCTTCTACTGCTTCCTCTCCGGCTTTCTTTTGAGCTTTTGCACCGCCTCCTTTCTCCCCCACCCCCTCCAGTGGTTTCTTTCCTTTGGGGTTGAGAGTCATGGGTTAATAGAGGCAATTAAAATCTCAGCGTTGTTTTGGTCAAATTGAAATCCTAAAACTAAAATTTCCTTTAGGTACTCTAAATTCACGAGCCTTCAAATATAAAAGGAAGATAAGGTAAGAAAAGGGAAAATGATGTATTGAGGGCCTATCAAGTGCCCAGGCACCATACTGCTGCAGGCACTTTCTTTCGGGTATAGCTTAGCTAGTTCCTGTCACCCAGGACAAAAGATAAAAGAGCAAAGAAGCAGTTAAAATAATACCTTCCCTTTAAAAATTTGTCTGTCTATACTGAGAACTGAAATGTTTAAAATCAAATTCTGCAGGGAACCTGGCGTGATGTCGCGCGCCTGTAGTCCCAGCTACTCGGGAGGCTGAGGAGGGAGGTTAGCCTGAGCCGGGAAGCGGAGCTTGCAGTCGTCCAATATCGCACCACTGCACTCTAGCTTGGGCAGCAGAACGAGACCCGGTCTTAAACATAAAACAAAATTATCAGGGCAGGCTTAAAACACACACAGACACACACACACACACACACACACACACACACACAAACCCAAAAAACCTCCCTAGATGAATAACAATTACCTGCCTTCTATAATCATGCATATATTGTTACAATGAATGTTGTAAAGTTGGTTACGTGATGTTCATGTTTTTAAACTGAGTTATTGTCATTTTCACTAAGATTCTGTCACAGTAATCTCTGAAAGGGTTTAATTGAAAAGATTTTCTTTCTCTGTTTACTCATTTACTCATTCATTCATATAAAAAATTTTAAAAATTGCCTAAAATGTCAATCATTGGCTAGACCCAATAACCAAAAGCCAGTAACTGCCCTCAAGAATTTTACAATCTAGTGAGGAAGATATGTTTAGACAGGTCATTAAAAAAACAAAACCTAGCACCAAGTTATGTAGAACTCAGAGAAACAATTGATTGAAATTAATCAGTTTTTTGAATTTCAAAGGATGAAATGATTTGGGACAAAGTGGGGTAAGGTGTTCCAGGAGAAAGAAATAAAAAAATAAAGACTCAGAGGCAAAAAGACTCAGAGGCAGGTTCGGGGGTGGGGATTGGTAATGGGTAAAGCTTCTTACCCTGCAGGACAGGGGGCAAAGACAGTGAGATGCATTAGGGGACTTTGAGGTTTGTCATTTAGAGCACTGGATGAATGTTAATTTCATTGACTGAAATTGAAAGCAGGAGGAGGGCAGGTTGGGAATGGAGGAGATAATGAGTCTTTATGGGATTTGCTTGCAGTACATGCAGAGAGAGAGAGGCAGCCTTAGCTCATAAAAATGCATTGGGAATTGAAAATATACGTTTGGAAATTGAGGTAATCACTGATAGCTGAAGCCCAAAAGGTGGATAAGGATGAGTTCCTCTGAAGAATATTTAAAGGGTAGACAAAGAGGAGGTTGTGAAGGTGCCTAAGAACAAGCAATTAAGAGAAAAAGGAGATGAAGAAAGAGATGGCCTGGAAGCCCAGAGAGTTTTAATCATGTAACATTCGTAGTTACAAAGTTCCGTTGTGTGCCAGGCACTATGCTGTTTACTAGAGATGCAAATGAATAACACATAGGAGCTTATAAAGGAATGGAGAAAAACAGAGATATGCAAACAGATCAACTAAAGTGTGTGCGTGTGTGTGTGTGTGTGTGTGTGTGAGAGAGAGGGAGAGAGAGAGAGAGAGTGGGCGATCCGTGATCCATGCAGGATAGAGGATCATTTCAAGAGAGTGCTGCAGAGCAGTCCCAGAGGATTTGGAATGAAAAGAAGCTACTGAATTGAAGGTCTAGGAGGTCATTGGTAATCTTGGCAAGAGAAGTCATCATAAAAGATAGTGACAAAGTGAGATGAAAAGTGACAAAGTAAGTGAAAAGATGATAGTGAAAAGTACGATAGTGACAAAGTAAGGTGGGTAAATAAAAATTATATTTTTCTGACTTTTTTGTCAGTGAATGAAAAGAGAGAGAGAGAATGGTGACCAGAGGAGGACAGTTCAAGCTTTTCCAATAACATTCAGAAACTATCCAATATTTATTGAGTGTCTATTAGGTGCCAAGCACCTTAATAGGTCCTGTGGATCTGAGATGCAGTCCCTGTCTTAGATCTCATGGTCTACTGGAGGACACAGAGAAGTAAGCAGGCAGTTGCAGTACAATGTAACACTGAGTGCTCTCTGTGTGTGATGGTGAATGGAGGCTGCTGTGGGAAACTATAAAAGCATCTAACAGGGATAAGTAGTAGGTTTATGGAATGCTTTCTGGGGTAATTGAAGCCTGAATTCAGGCCTTTGAGCTGAGGCCTGAATAATGAGCATGGGTGGGGAACAGTTTCCAGGAAGGAGGTAGTGCCTGTGCAGAGGCTCAGAGGAAAGGAGACCATGTTGCAGAGGGAACTGAAATTAGTTCTGTCTGGCTGCAACTTAGAGTCGGGTACAGTGACAGGGGTTAACAAAGAGCCATTGAAGTTTTAAAGCAGAGGAATGATATATTCAGATTTGCATTTTATAAAACTCTTCTACTTTATAAAATGGAAGATAGGAGACAGTCTGTTACTCTTTTTTAGACTCACGGTTTATTATTAAACACCTGATAGGAGTCATAGGCAAGGCAGGAAACAGATATCATGTTCAATGTGTTTAAATGAGGAAAGTTTAATGAAAGGACTCTTCACAGAGTTGACAGGGTAAGGGACCCACAGTCTGGTGAGAAGCTGAAAGGAAGAAGGGTACATATCCTGATTTCTCTCACCTCCTACTTTCTGATCTCTTGGTGGTGCCTCCCGTGATCCAAAAACCAAGCAAGGCCAGAGGGTAGAGGGGCCCAAAACATGCTGTTCATAGAGGACAGACTCCTGGGGCACAAAGTAGGGCACTGAAAGGTAGAGAATGGATGGAGGTAAGGGGACGGAAAGCCACCAGCACACAAATGATACAGGCAGGGTTCACTGTAGGAAGCTGAAACCACTCTGGATATTTAAAAACAAAAAAACAAAAAACAAAGGGCTTTCATCCAAGCAATTCACTGCTTCTGAAATCTGTGGAAGGACTGGAGAAGTTGAGGTCAGCAGGCTGTTGAATTCAAAGTCACATGCTTTGTGGTGAACATTACTAGTATTCACTAGTATCTGGTCCTCCTTGACTTCTGAGTATATGGGAGTTTACAGTTCCTAGTTCCCTTGCAGTTAGGTGGGGCCTTGTGATGAGTTCTAGCCAATAAAATGCGAGAAGTGACGTGTCACTTCCAGGATGAGACAGTGAAAAGCCTTTGGGCAGTTCTCTAGACTTCCTCTTCCCTGCCGCAATAGTTATAGAGGAGACCTTGGGTTAAGATGTAGCAACCACAAGATTGAAACAGCCCAAATCTCTTAAGTCAGCACATGGAGAGCAGCTGCCCACACCTGCAGGAAGCATTTTGTCTGTGAGAAAGAAACTTTTATTATATTAAGCCACTGAGATTTTGGAGGATGCTTGTGACTACAGCATAAGGCTAGTTTATTCTGACTAACATACACTGTAGCTGGGATGGGAAGCTGACACTGGAACACTGCTACTGCTGCTGCCAGCACCAATGGCTCTCACACCCATTAAGACTATGAGGAGTCTGAATGCCACAGACATGTCATCACATCTTGCTTGCAAGTGACATAGCAGCAAGAAGACAGCCTCCACTTCACTTGCACCTGTGTTTTCATATGGACATTTATTTGGCAGGCCTTATTTGCACCCAAAAATTGAGTGGCAAGGGAGTCTGAGAAATGTAATTTTCAGCTTTCCAACTTCTTCAGATAGGATGGTGGAATGAATGTTGAGGCAGCAGGTCTAAGTATCTACTCCAGTACTTACAATGCAAGTTTCTTAAAGGCAGGGGTGGTTTGCTGATCATCTTTGTATCTTTTCTGAATAGCCCAGTACCTAGTGGGTATTCAATACATGTTTCTTGAAATGATCTGAATTTATAGACCTATCCTAAGTGTTTTAACTCTCAGGTAAAACAATAGAGTGAATAGACTGCTTGCTGCCAGAGGTGTGACAGTTCTTATAGGCTTATTCAATTCCCTTGAAAAGCATTTACTACCCCGTAAAATTTCGTACACTCCCCCTTTACCTATCCCCTACAAAGAGGATATTTAAGTCTCAACCCTCTGGTCTTTCTTTGAGTCTCATATTTGCAGGACTACTCTGTCCATGTGCACGAATAAATTTGTATGCCTTTTCTCCTGTTAATCTGTCTATTGTCAGTCATTTCAGCAAAGCTTCAGAAGGCAGAAGGGAAGCTTTCCCATCAACCTTATACCTACAATAATTTGGAAAGAAAGTAAGATACCTATAAAACCCTTAGTTCTATAAGAGGTTGAAAAATGGAATGTTAGTAGGTTATATTTATTGGCTGCTTTCAGTAAGATATTGGAAACATAAGATGAACTCGTGCAATAATTAGGAGGTTTGGAAGCATAAATTGAAAGGAATATAGACAGTCCAGAAACTTGGAGCCTCAAGGGATTGGAAAAACTAACTGCTCTATACCTCAAAGAATAAGAAATAAGATTGAAAAAGCTCTTGAGCAACAAGGACCCATTAAGACTCAGCCATGAAACAAAGGTTATATTTAGGGTGTGGTCTTCACATTTAAGTTTGATGGTCTCAAAGTAGCCTCCTTAAATTGAAAGGAAGAGAGGCATGGAGTGAAGAAGCAAAGAAATAATCAGGATTGAGAATTATCTCTAGGAAACCTTAGTGTTGCTGGCATATGGAACTGACTGGAAGCAGAAAGATCAAAGACTTTTCAGTTTTTGAGGTACTATATTGCTAAAGAAATCGTGAGCCGGCATTAAAAGTTGTACTCCCCTCAAGAAAGTCACGTTCCTCAACACTCATTTTAAATGTGGGCTTAGAGGGAAAATTTCCAGAGGGCAGAGCCAGGGACCACAGAGGACAACAGATAAGCAGATTCCTCACAGAGAATGGAAATAGGGTCTAGCTGAGAAACAGCTGCCACTGCCAGCTCAGAGCCATCACAATGCCTCCCTGCAAAATTTCATTTTTGTGATGGGCCAGGGTCCCACTTTTCCCCCTTTCCTACCTGGAAGTATTTACTATATTTGTTATATCACTATATATTGGATGTGAGTGAGGGAAGATATTTTATCAGCTAATAGGCCACAGCTCTAATTGAAATGTTAAACTGGACAATTCTTTGCAGTGGGGCTGTCCTGTGTATTGTACAAGGTTTAGCAGTTTCCCTGGCCCCTACCCATTAGTTGCCAGTATCATCCCCCTCACTCCCAGTTGTGTCAATCAAAAATATCTTCAGACATTGCCTAATATCTCCTGGAGGACAAAATCATTCTTAGTTGAGAATAACTGGGTCACAGTACATTGTGGAATTATATTCAGATCTGACGGAGAATTCTGTGCATTACGTGGAAATCCTCCACTTTGAACTTGAAGCAGTGACTGGGTGGATTTTAGGTTATCTCATTTGGTGACGATAATGAGTGTATCGTTTATTTGGGAAGAAGAGTGAAATGGCTTTTTTTGGTGATCAAATGGATGGACTATGGCATAGATTACTAGGTCATCACCAAACCTGTTTTGTTGAGTACACAGTTCCACTATCTTTTCCAGTCTCCCTTGCAATTAGGTGCTGCTGCAAGACTGACTTCCAGCCAGTAGAATGTGTCCAACTTCCAGGCCTGGCCCATAAAAACCTCTTACATGTGACCCTTTCATTCTTCTCCCATCTGATAGCTGGATGTTGACGTCAAGGATGATGCTGGACGCCAGATGTGGAAGATGGAGAAGCCTCTACCTGCCTGGGTCTCTACTGGCAATTTATAACCAGGAAATCGGTCTGCGAGGTAAGTGAGAAATTAGCATTTAATTTGCTGTGTGTGATTTTAAACATTACTATTTTAAAAGATTGTGGAAAAATACATATGACATAAAATTGACCATGTTAACCATTTTTAAGTGCACATTTCTGTGGCATTAAGTATAGTCACACTGTTGTGCAACCAACACCACCACCCTTTTCCAGAACTGTTTTCATCTTGCAAAACTGAGATTCTGTACCCATTTAACAATAACTCCCCATTCCCTGGAAACCACTCCTTTACCTTGAGTCTCTATGAATGGAATCACACGATATTTGTCCTTCTGTAACTGGCTTATTCACTTAAACGTTTAATCTTTTAAGCCACTGAAATTTGGGATGTGTTTGTTATAGCAGCTAGAATTACATACTGTGTGCCTAGAAAAGAGTAGATCCTCAAAAAAATGTTTTCTGAGTAAGTGAACATTCAAATATTGTTAATTTGAAACGTATGTTTAGGACATTACATTGTATTTAATTTATAAATTTATATTGTTTTATAATGATATAAAAGTTATAAGATGTTTAATTTTATGTGTAATATACATTTAGGTAACATTGTAATTACAATAATTTAAATCAACATCAGGAGTCCATGACTTTTTACCCCTATACATCATTTATTTTTGGGAAAAACTGCTATATTGGGTTGTTTAATAATGCATATATTCTAAGAAAATTGAATTGAGAACTTGCTTTAATTTTCCATTGCCTAAAACCAAACTCGACTAGAGTTGTTGAGGATTGATTATCAGAGAATGACATAGGAGCTTGAATAATTACATTCCCAGGCAAGCAAAAAGTTTTTTAGTTTATATCAAAGGAAATATGACAGTTAAAAAAAAAACAGCAGCAACAACAAAAAAAACTTCTCTCTTTGGCCTATGGTTGAATAGGGATGCTATTGATACCTAAGTACTGACATTTTATCATCTTGATTACTAGTCTGTCTGACAGGAGAATAAAGGCTTTCAAGGAAAGAACCAGATACTTTCTGAGGCACCTCCTTTAATTCTAAAACTTGATCTCTTTCATAACTAGTTCTTTTTCATCTAATTTTCAAATTTCTATGGAAAGATGGCAAATTGCCTTTGTAATTCTTAAAAGTAACACAAGATTATATACTTTTCTATCAGAAACCACAATATTTATTCAATAACTTCTTTCCAGTCAAGACATATCTAGAATGGATCAAAAAGTGTTCTTTGAGCAATTGTAATATCCCTAAGAACCCTAGACTGATAGCATGCAGGTGATTTCAACTCCAATTTTGCCCCCTCTTCCTTGCCTCCTTCACATTCTAATGTTAGGATAGCTATGGGGATGATCGCTTCCTGACCTCATATAATTATTCCTGTCCCACCAGGCAGAACTGGATTTCTCTTTCTGGGAAATACTAAATACTAATTTTATAACAACACACATTTACAGAAGTTGTAGAAAATAAGGCTCTTTCTCTAAGAAAGAGCATTTTAGAAAATACTGATACTTTCTAAAACAGTTGTGAAAATCTTTTAAGAATTTAAACCAAACCCATCTTAAATTCCAAATCTGGAAAATCTTAGTAATTTGTTGATTTGCTTTTCTTATATAACCTGTACATATGTGTATTTGGAAATGGTTGGGAGGTGTGTGTTTTTCTCCAGTTAGTCTGGTTCCCATCTCCTTAGAGGTGCAATGAATTATGTTTTCTGTCATTGTACTTTTTTCTTTTTTAAGACCAATTTTCTTGCAGTTCTTTGGTATGCACTCACATATCTGGTGATGTTGTATTAAAATATGGCCTTTGTTTTCAATTTTAAAAAATCCCCTTTGTTTTTTGAAAAAAGTAACCTGTTGATTTGGATCCAAATAATTTTCAAAAATTAATAAACCAAAGAGGAATGCTTTTAAAAAACCCAAGCAAAAAGCACATTCAACCAGAGCCTACGCTATGCATTTTCTAAGTAAATTGTCACAAGACCAGAATACTATAATATTTTATTTAGCTAGATACCTGGAAAGTATTTTCAAAATTAGCATTTTTTTTTCTTTTTATACCAGGGGTACAGAAGTTCCAGGTACATTTTTATACCTGTTATGTATATTTTTATCAAACATGCAAATTGATCAAGTAAAATACAAAAATAAAATCGCTTCTATGACAATCATAAGACAAAGACGATGTTTTCCCTAGTATCATACCATAAGCTCATATGGAGCTTTAAGTTAAGGCTACATACAGTTAGAATTCTGAAATGAATCAGAGGTATGACTCAACAACAGTGGATATTGATCTAGGAGTTCCCAGTTTTAACTCAGTTCTGCTTCTGATGGTTTAATTTTGAGCAAGTGACAACTTCCCTGAGCTCATTCTGTTCTGCAAAGTGAGGGAAATAGTCTAGATCAACACTGTCCAATAGAACTTTCTGCAATAATGGAATATTCTCTGCTCTGTCCAATATAGTAGTCACTAGCCACATGTAGTGACTGAACACTTGAAATGCAATAGGTGTGACTAAATAATTGAATTTAAAATTTTGTTTAATTCTAATTAATTTAAATAGCCACATGTGGCTAATGGCTATATTGGATAGCAGAGGTCTAGACTCACTCTCATTCACTCACTTAGCAAGCATTCAAGTGCCTACAATCTGCCAAGCAAGCATCTGGCTAGGTGGGGAAGAATATCACAACATCTTTGTCTTGAAGGACTTAACTTGAAGAAAACTAAGTACTTGCTAGTACCTGTGCTTCAATAAGCATATGCAAAAAGCTCTGTGTACTCATAGAGGAGAGAGCAATAACCAGAAGGTATATCATCTCTAAGGTCCTCTCCAGCTCTAAAATTAAATAACTATAGATATATATGTATCTATATATCTACAGATATATATCTATATATGTATATCTATGTATATATATTAGATAGATACATATTTAGATAGATTTAAATGGATATATATTCATAAATATCTATGAATATACCTCTGCTATCCAATATTCTAATATATAAATATGTTTAAATGTATACATATATGAATATATAAATGTAAATATATATTAAAATGTATAGTGATAGATATATATACATATCTATGTGTATCTATATCTATATATTTTAGAGCTATCTAAATATCTAGATAGCTCTAAAATATATACATAGATATACATATGTACATATGTATCTATCTGTATATTTTAATATATATTCATATATTCATATATTTATATATTTAAACCTATTTATATTTTAATATATATTTATATATGTATATATTTATGTATTTAAATAGGTTTAAAATATTTTATATATATTTTATAAATATAAAATATTTTAAACCTATTTAAATATATAAATATATACATTCAAATATATATTTTAATATTTATATGTATTTATGAATCTCTATGTACATGATATCTATCTATCTATCTATCTGTCTATCTATCTATTTTTAAAATTAGAGAAGGAGGTCTCACTATATTGCCCAGGCTGGTCTTGAACTCGGGGCTTCAAGTGATTCTCCTGCCTCAGCCTCCCAAAGTGCTGAGATTAGAGGCATGAACCACTGTGACTGGCCAGCTCTAAAATTATATGAATTAAACTCAACAAAAATTTACTGAGCACCTGTTTTTGTGCAACTGTTTATCAGCTCAATGTATTGGTGCAGGATTATCACTCAGAGGGTAGTAGCTACACTCCTATCAGCACTCTTGTTGATTTATTGATTGATTCATTTAATATTTGGTGAGTGTTTATGTACCAAGCACTTCACTAGGCATACATGAAAAAAAATGAATTTTATGATGATTTCCAAGGTTCATAGTGAAACATTGACTTTAACACTATTTTTCAGGAAATGAATTACCAGATTCTGGGTTCACTTTGACCATATTTAAAACTGATGGTGTTTCAAATGTTATTTCAACTTTCTAGAGCCAAATCATCAGCATTTCCTAGTATTAGTAATAAATAAAGTGAAAATGAAAGAATTGGGTATATTTGGTCGTTAAAAACTATGCACATGCTTTACAATAGAATATATTGATTAAAGTAAATACTCTGAGATCTTTCTTAGAAAAGATTCTTTCATACTGTTACCTAGGTATAAATATTTATTCCTTTTCAATGTACTTGTTTTTTGCTGATGTCTAGCTACAGTATCAAGTACAGTATTTTTCTGTGTGTTAGATCATGTCTTCTTTTACATAAAACTGATGCGATGTTGTCTCTTATTTGTTGGATATACACATATTTATTTCTTCAACTATTTATTTAGTTGACCAGCATGCAAATATTGCTGTGCTATTTTGCACTATCAGAGTGCTATTCAATTAGAGAATACAAAAGCAAATAAGAGTTGGATCGTCTTCTTAAGGAGTTGGTAAAGAAAATAAGAAACAGAAGAAAGTTGAGAAAGAGGCTTTTTCAAAATGTCCTCCAGAGTACCTTGAAGGTGGAAGCAGTTACTTCCAAATGAGACATTAAGAAAAGGCTTTGCAGAGGATGTGGCACTGAGCTAGACCTTGAGCCTTGAAGGAAGTGTAGAATCTGCAACAGCAGAGAAGGAAGGAAAGGCCATTTCCGAGGCAGGAAAGCACGAAATTAGGGAGGAGAAGAATGTGAGTTAAAACAAAGGAAAAAATAGCTGTGAAAAAGTAGAGGAAAATCTGATTTTAAACATAGTTTGTGGCTAGATCCTGCTTTTAAATGCTAGGCTGGGGAGTCTAGACTTTATGTAAGGCGTTTGCGCAAGGGGATGAAAAATCAGACTTGTTCATTAGGAAAACTAATCTGGCAGAAGTATTTAAGTTATGTTGGGGTACGGAGAGGCTAAATGCAGGGACCAGTTATTAGGCTAGTTATTAGAGCCATGCAGATGATAGGTTGCTATGAGGCCCTGAATTAGGATACTACCAGGAGATTAGAGAGGAGGGGGCTCATGAGGGGTTATTGTAAAAGTAGAAACAATAAGACCTGGCAACTTATGGCATATAGTGATA